TTCCTTTACTACAAACTTCTTATCCCTGTAACGAGAGAATGTATCACTTTAAAATGAGAAAAAGTGCCATTAGAATAACTTTTGAAGTTCTGTTGCCCTTTTGCAACTGTAGGCATAAATGGCTTCACTTCTTAATGACCCAAGGTACAGCTATGACTTGAAGTTGCTGTTCCTGTTAAAAATAGTGTATTATAGTTGCAAGTAAACCTAAGTTATGGGACTGCAAAACGTACTTGAGTTTTCAAAAATGAGACTGTTTCCATGAAACAGTGGTTCATATCCTAACAAAATATACCAAATGCAAATCGTTGTTTTACTCAAAGCAATAATGACATGTTCAAAACATCTAGTTAATTTTTCTCAGGAGGAAGAGTGTGTTTAAACTTCAGGGTTTCTTCCCCAAACCACAAGCAGACTTCCCCGACCCTTTTGAGAATTGCCCCATCATAAACAGGTCATTGGGAGAAATCTATGTGTCCAATCTAGAGACAGAAAGTTGTCAGTGAAAATTTAAAGCTCTTCGTCTCTAGTAATAAATGGTGTACATGATTGCTGGCTACTATGAGTTACTGCATCTTCCACATTGATGGATTTATTTTCCATTTCCTTGTAAAAATTAATTCCTTATACTCAACCACAGAATCTTTTTTCTAATTTTGTGCTAGTCCCAGCACTTGGTTCAAAAAAAATCCCCAACAACTTATATTTAAAATCTCACTTCTTCCTTGTAAGAAATTTTAGAAACACAGTAAAACTATAAGATAATTGCAGGTGTAAGTGAAATATTTCTCATGCCAAACATCTAAATTCTAAATAAATCATTTTATAAGGGAACATAAATCTCACTGGAATGAGGATGGGAAGAGACACACAGCAGGACAGTCCTGACCTGTACCACCTTTGTCCCTGTGGGTTTTGTGTGGTCACCAGGGCAGGCCTAACCTCTAACACAAACAACAGTAATCTTATGAGCAGAACACCTAAGCCCCAGGAAGTCAGCTCCAAAATACACCCAGCCCTGATTTTCACTTTGAAAAGGTCTCCCTTGCTGGGTATGATTTGTTCTGGCTGACTGCAGAGATCTCTTTACCATTTGTAATAGGCTTTAAAAAACTTTTGACTTTTAACCAGGCACCAGTGGGTCATGTCTATAATCCCAGTTACTTGGGAGGCTGAGATCAGGAGAATTACAGTTCAAGGCCACAGTTAAAGTAGTTCAGGAGAGCCCATCTCCAAAATAACCAGAGCAAAATTGGCTGGAGGTGTGACATAAGTAATAGAGCACCTGCTTTGCAAATGAGTTCAAACTCTAGTCCCACCAAAACAGAGAAAAAAAAAAAACAACAGTAATGTGTATGCATACTTACATTAAAAATAGGTTAGAAGTAAGAGTTACACCATCTTGTTTCTTCCGTGCAAGAAGGGATGGGGAAAGGGACAGCATTGAAACTTAATGTCACCTGTCAGTTGCAGCTGCTGCAAACAGGAAAAAGATCAACCATGCGCAATACAACCATTGGGAGGTCTTATGCTTCACTTCACAGATTTTTGTTTTGTTGGTCAGAATCCGGGCATACCTGTGATGGCATTTGTTATATGTTTGTTATGGCCTCTCTCTCCCTCAAAACAAACAAAACCCAAACACACACACAGTTGGGAGATGCTGTCCAAGTCTCACTAGCAGAGCAAGCTGCTTGCCTGCAGGAGTGATAGCAATGAGAACAGCTACCAGGTGGCTTTCTCCAGGAGAGCCTGAAGACAGGGTTGCTTGGGAAGGCACAGAAGGCTAGTTCCCAGAGAGCCGAACAGCTGGTTCTCCCAGTCACCCATTTGATATGTTTCCCTCCTCTGGCCCCTCAGGGCTTCAACATACTGCCAGGATGAGGTCCTGAGTAACGGGGCCCACTCCTTTCTCAGATCAGGGGACCCTAGTGGATGGCCAGGAAATGTGCCATGGACAGAAGCCTGTGAACTATGTCCCAAATATCACACACAATTGGTTACCCTTAAAGACCGCACCAAAAACAAGTGTACTTTAAGCCAACATGCCACTAAACCTTGACATAATTGTAGCAGGTTTGGGTTTCCTCTGGTTCAAGTTATCGTGCCTCTTTGATAATCAGACAATCTGAAGAAAGGCATAGGATTTCAGGGGGAATCTGCAGGACAGACTCACAATGGGGCCATTCACCGGCCAGCCCTTTATTAGCTCACACAGGGCCTGCTGGCTACAAGGCTCCATTTAAACCTAACCCAGCCACAGACTTAACTGATTCAGGAGTGACTCAATAGGACCAGCCAGCCACTGTAGCTCTTTTCCCCTGTTGATAAGGGGGCTGAACACAATGGGCTTTACAGTTCTTAAATGACTCTGTTTTTTTCTTCTGTCTTTGAGATGCATGCTTATGTGACCTTTTGTTCCTAATAAAATTTCATGTGGCCTGATTATGTCTTTTTAAAGTATAAATAAACAGAATAATAACTCCTCCCCTTTGAATAAAACTTTTTAAACCATGTAGATGATTTAGAAGCAAAATTGACATGTCCTGATACTTATATAATTGATTTCAACTACAGTAGTTAACTGTAGTGTTACCTAGTAGCTATTATTAAACCAAACCTGAAAAGAGTTTCTTTATTTTTGACAAGTGACTCTGATATACCTTCTAGCAGAATTTCAACACTGGATTTCTATTGTTGCACATTTCTGGCTGTTTCCATTACTTCATTCATTCCATTATATGATATATAAATTTAACATTTCATTGAAATTGGCAGGGTGATTAGAAGACCGACCACAAAGTGACCACAGTGACAATATGCTTCTATTTCCCATACTTACTTGGGAATACTTGGTTATTCCTGAGTTGCTGGAAGAGGAGGGGACCCTGACACGAGAGTGGAGGGAGGATTATGGAAGGCACATTTGGTAGCACACCATCTAGAGAGTACCCACTTTTCTCAAGGGTAGGGAGTATCGCACTTTGGGCCCGCTCATCAAAATAGTAGTTCCAAGCTTATTAAAAATGCAGGCTCCTGGACTGGGCACAGCAACTTATGCCTATAATCCTAGCTATTTGGGAAGCAGCAATTGGGAGGATACAGGCTTGAGGCCAAGCCAGAAAAAAATGTTAGCAAGACCCCATCTCAACCTACAAGCCAGGTATGGTGGTTCAGACCTGTGGTCCCAGCTATGGAGAAGCATAAGTCATAAGATCATGGTCTGAGGTTGGCATAGGAAAAAGTGTGAGACTGTCCCTGAAAAATCACTAAAGCAAAGGAGGCTGGGGGCATGGCTCAAGTGGTAGATCACATGCCTAGCAAGTGCAAGGTCCTGAGTTCAAACCCCTAATACTGCCAAAAAAAAAAAAATGCAGGTTCTTGTCCATTCCCCACCCCATTCTGGGGTCTGGGATGGGGTCTGAGAATTTGTATTTTTAACAAGCACTCCATTGATTTTGATTGGTGGTTATTGAACCATACTGAGAAAAAGAAAATGATGCTCAAGTTGCCAGGAATGTTGGTTGTCCATGCAGCTGTGCCCTCAGCAGCAGCTGACCCCAGTGAGCAGGACCAAACCTTGGGTAACAGTGACCCCTTGCGCAACCCCCAGATGTGCAGGGGACAGGAGGGCAAAGGATGTGAGTAGCTCCAATGTTCCTGTCCCTCAGGTCCAGTACAGGCTGAGGTCCACCCAGCCTCAGGTTCCCATGACCACCTTCACCTCCTCCACCGACCACTCTCTTTTACTGACTGCCCTCACCTCCTCCACAAGAGTGTTATCTCACTCCCATCTGACTTTGCAATTAGAATTTCAGGATGGTGTGGTTGGTGTCTGCAGTAATTAATCTGAACTTACTCCTCTGTCCCCTCCCCCACCCACTCAGGTAATTTGTGATTGTTAGAAACAAAGGTCTTTTTCAAAAGGACTCCCAGACTCCCAATTAGAGAGCCCTTGTCAAGAAGCCTTCAGGGAGTTACAGATGTAACATGTTTGTTAATTTCAAGAGGGATGATGAGTTTGCCTTCAAGATCAGTTGATCTGATGGTCAGAACAGATAGCGCAAGTATGTGGTGATGAAACCACTGAGTTTTACAGCCCTTCACTGGAGGGGCTGAGGGGTGAGTTCTGTTGTATACAACCCTCATGGTGAGAATTTTCAGATAGCAGACTTCTAGGGTGCTGTGGATGGAACCCAGGGCCTTGCTGGGCAAGTACCCTACCACTGAGCCACACTCCCAGCCTTGCCGATTTTTTCATAATGAGAATTTTCAAATTACACAAAACTACAAAACACAAACAACAACAAAACACAACAGACACCCACATATTCGCATATTCATCGGCTCTCTCCAGCGTTCTTATGATTTCTCAAAATTTTCAGCAGCCTTTTCTGTTGTTAATTTTCCCTAGTGGTTTTTTGTAGTGGAGAACAGGTAGTCTTTTCCTCACCAGTGGCTGAGGCTCCTATGACAAAATACAGATTAGTGAGAGAAAAGCACACACATTCACTTAACAGTGTGTTTTGCACAACACGGGAACTCTCAAAAGTAAAGGTCCAAAGAAACAGGGAAGCCTGTGCGCTGTTACTCAAGCTTGGTGAAGAGTGGACAGGCCTGATTGGTCAAGTGGCCCTGAGCCAATGGTCCCAACTGGGGGCAGGGGGATGAGCAGGGGCTGTTGGTCCAGGTTCTTCCCTGAGCCCCTGTGCCTTCAGAGACAAGGACATTTCTTTGCTCTGTGTGCTTCCCCCATAGGAGAACAAGGGTCTTATGGGCTGCTTTGGGGAAAGGACAGAGACTTTTACAGCAGCTGCAGGGGAGAAGGTCAGGGCAACCTTTGTTGTGCTTCAGCTGTTCTGTCAAATGCAAATGTTACATGTTGGAGTGGTGTGTCCTAAACCACACCATTTCCAAGTTGGTTCACTCTAGGAGTGAACAGACACAATCCTTGCTTGGCCTGTATGTGTGCAGTGATACATTAAGCATGTCCTTTTCAGGAGTGTGTACCTGAAAACCTGGAACTGAAGAAGAAGATTTTCACCCAGCTGGATGGCCTCGTTGATGATAGAGTCGTCTTAAGCAGCTCCACCTCTTGCCTTCTGCCTTCCAAGCTGTTTGTGGGTCTGGCACATGTGAAGCAATGCATCGTGGCTCATCCTGTGAGTGTTTGGAGTTTTTTTTTGTTTTTACGGTGCGGGGGATGGGACCCAAAGCCTCACACATGCTAGGCAAGTGCTCTACCACCAAGGTACCCATAAGCTCCTGTGTTTTAAGCCTGGGGAATTGATTGTATCTCATTCTTTTATTCAGGGGCAATAAATTTCAGTGAATCTGTTAGTATTTTGAACTGCTTTATTGAGATGCAATTCACACACTATACAATCTGCTAATTGCAATCAGATAATTCAACAATTCTTGATGGATTTAGAGTTGTACAATAGTGGCATTCTAAAAAAAAATATATATATATATAAAACCCAAGTCCTTAGTTCTTTATCTGTGCACCTAAGGCTCATTGGCATAGGAGGAGCAGTGTGTGAGGCTTTAGCCCTTGAGTAACTGACAGGGCCTGATGTGGCTGGCCACCACCTAGCTAAAGGTGCTGCATTATGGATGTTTATGTTAAGTGGGATTTTGTGGGTACCTGTGGTCACTTGTCCTGTGTGGTTATTGAAGGCAATTCAGAGGAGGATCAGGTTTGCTCAAGTGTGGGTCCCATTGCTGAGATCCCAATTCAGGAGGTCTGACTTCAAACTCACCCTTCCCTGTTGTTCCTTTACCCATCCATTGTAATTAGCTAGTTAGCATCCTTACCTGGAGTGCATTATGGCGTGTACTGAGCAAATAGGATCCAAATTACCTGCGAGCGTTCTGTGAATCTTTCTGAGATTAATGTGTAAATGCGGAGGGTGGGGGATGAGAGAAGATATTCAAGGATTCCCCCAATGAAGGACACTGGAGTCCAGATGGGAGCTCAGCATGACTTTGGAGAGCTAGGACAGCCTGCTGGGACCAGAAATCTACTTCAGCTGGTAGTACGGAATGGTAGCCTCACCCTTGGCATGCCCAGGCCATCAGAGGTTAAATTTGGGGAGAAGCCACACTGAGGAGCTGAGTCCCCTACATAGGATTGGGCTGGGCTGAAGGGTGTTTGAGGTGGGGCCAAGAACAGGTGGGCTGTGCAGGATCTTTGGGTGGCCCCAAGGCTGGGAGAACCCACCCAGCTGGGGAGCAGTGGGAAAATACAGGTTGTGTCCTTTATCTGAGATGTTTGAAGTGTTTCAGACTTGGTGGGGAGGTCTTTTGGATTTTGGAATGTTAGCATAGACTTTACCAGTTGAACATTCCTAATCCCCAAAATGCAAAATCAGAAGTGTTTTAAAACTCAAAGATTTTTCTTTTGAATAATACTGGGGTTTCAACTCAGGATCTCATGCTTGCTAGTCAGGTGCTCTACCAGTTGAACCATTCCACTAGTCTTAAAACTCAAGCCTTATGTCAGTGCTCAAAAAAATCTGATTTCCATATATTTCAGAGTTTGGATTTTCAGATTAGGGAAGGTGGACCAGTAGTGAGTTGTAAAGAATCATGAGAGTTACTCTGAAGAATTGGGACTGGCTTAGGTCCAGAGTGACCATGTGATGTGTGGAAATCCTGCTTTGGTAGGGTCCTTTTACAGTGAAGAACAGTTCAGAGAGGGAAATACCTGCAACACAGGACATGGGGCTGTGCTCAAAGCTTGAGTGACCAGGGCTTAGGTTTGAGAGCAGGGAAGTCTCCTGAGTAAGAGCAGTAGAGAGCAGGGAGGCAGCAGACTAATCAGGGTGGTGCATACCAGGTCTCCTATGCCGAGGGTGGGGCAACCAGGAGTACCATTCTCAAAGCTTGTGTTCTTAAGTACAAGGAAAAGAGTAAAGGATGGTTGCCAAATGCGAGGAAAAGAGCAGCAGGACATAGGACAGACAGCCACATTTAGTTACCACTCAAACATTAGTGAAGTCGGAACCAAGAGGGGTTCTAACTGCAAGCCCTAAGTATCAAGTTACTTTGCTTCAGTACATGTCATGAAAACACTTTTGGAAGTCGCAGTCCACTGTTTAGATTGTTATTCGTTGCTTTAGTGGAAGATGGTTGCTTGTAAGAAAGCTCCCAATATCTAACCAGGATTTCTGCTTTTAAATTGGATTTTTAAAAACTTTTAAAAGACTGCCTAAAGTAAATCAAATGGTTCAGAACTACCTCCTCCTTTGACAAGATTCTTCCCAAGACTCTTGGATTTTAAGCTGTCCAATGGGTGAGATCACTCTTGATTCACCTTGTTTTTTGTCATCCCCAGCACTGTCCTTTGACCAGCTAAATGGTCAGTAACTTGAATAGTGGCATTTCTCTCTTGTCACTCTCCTATCCAGTATTGTTTGCCTTTATTTATTTAATCAAAGACAAACAAAAGTTAAAGTAAGTCCAAATCTTATTTTAAAAATTAATTTTTTGCTTTTATGAAGTGTTTTAACTTTTAAAACTTATGTTATCTAAAGCAAGTTAGCCACCTTTGGAATTTGTCTCCTGTTTCTTTGTCATGCAAGATCTGACCATTGCTGGACCCTAGGGGTATATCAGGCCTACACAATGAAAAGCCATTGCTAGTGTTTGAGGACCTGCAATTTCCCCAGTACCCCTGCCTAGACAGGGGAGGTGGAGTGCCCAGCATCAGGCCTCAGCCCTGCAACCCTCCCTCACCTCTGCCTGGACAGGAAATAGGGTGGAGGAGAGGGAGTCTGAAAGGTCCAGGCACAGGTGGTAAAGCTGCCATTGGTAAAGCTGTCACCTCCACCCCTGCACAGGGAAGCCGCCAGCCAGCATGAGATGACAGCCATGTGGTCTGCAGGGGTGGGGCAGGATTTCTGGTCATCTCAACCCCAGACACTGATAGGTGGACGTGTGCTGCCAGTGACTAGGAAGTTCATTTGGGGCTTTAGCGTGGCTTCCTAGATGGCCAGCAAAAGTGGCAGTGGGCACAGTCACACAAAAGCCCAGAGGGGTAAGGAGGAAGGAAGATGGGTGCTTGTGCACCCATTTTCTCTGTTTAGGACACTTTTCCTCCCAACTGTGTTTTGTGGCAACTCTCCTCATGTCGCCCTGTAGAGAGGAGTGTAGAGAGGACCATGCGGCAGGTGGGGGCATGTTGGCTGCAGATTGAAAGCTGCTCCCACTGCAGCTCTGTCAACCTGTGTCAGCCATCCATCAAAGCACTCAGTGATTCAAAAAGGCCTTCCTTCTCTTTCCTCCCTGATCTCTGTTTGGGGAACAAGATGGTCTGGTGGAGCTGGTAAGGGTCTCCTTGGCCTGTCAGTGCCCTGCTCTGTGGATGAGGCTGTCTGGAAGGAGGTGTGCATGGGAGAGGTGCACCCTGGAGTGGAGTCATTTGCCACGATGCTTGGCTCCAAAGCAGGTCAGCCATTGAGCCTCCTACTTCCTTCCATAAGATGCCAGAATATCCCCCTAGTCACCTTGCATGCTCCTCCTTTCCTATCCCTCTCCTCCCCTCCCTCCCTCCCTCCCTCCATTTCTTCCTCCTTCCATTCGCTTTCCTTTCTTTCTTTCCTGTGCTGGGAATGGGACTCAGGGTCTTGAGTGTGCTAGGCAAGTACTCTAGCACTGACTAACACCCCAGACCTTTTCCACTTTACTTTGACATGGAGTCTCACTAAGTTGCCCAGGCTGGCCTGGAACTTGTCATCCTCCTGACTCCACCACCTGGTTGCTACACTACTAGGCCAGCTCACTTGTACATGTTCGGGTGTCCCCTCCTACCTGACACAGAAACGTTTGCCTTGGTGTTGATCATTTACGTATGCAGCTCATGAACTTGCCTCTGTGGAGCATTTGTGTTCTGTGCTCATTTGAGCATCTGTCTGCATTTTGGTGGCACCTGGTTCAGGCTTGGCACTGCTGTGATCCAGAGGACGCCTTTCAGCAATCTCTGCCAGAGGAAAGCGCTGCTTACGGACAGCATTGAAATACAGATCTTCAGTCCTCTCCTTCTTCTTCACCTTTGCTTCCTACAGGGAAGGGGAAGAGGACCCGCCCCTCCCCTCCTGCCATGCTGCGTGTGGATGAATTGTCAATGGATGGCTGTCTCCTAGGACGGCTGGTCACCTCCCCTGTGGGGCTGGCTGGTTCCATCCCGGGAGAGGGTGAAGGAAGGCTCTGTTGGCACGGTGCTATCTGAGATCACATGTGCTGGGCTCGGGTTCAGTTCCCTAAAGTGAAGAATGTTCCCCTTGTGCCTGGCCCAGCTGAGCTCTCAGAGCCTGGCAGCCGCAGCCCCTCCCAGGCCCCCACCCACAACGCACCCCTGGTGCTCAGCCTTTCAAGAAAGGACTTCTTTCCTGTGCTACTCTTTTCCCATCTGCAAGGCATGGCTCCCAGCTTCCCTCAGTCCACATCAGAAGGGCCTCTCGAAAAAGGAGGAATGCTGGGGCTTATCTGTCCTGTAGCCTATGCAGCACTGCCCTCAGCTTTCTCCTCTCCTCTACCTACTGCATGAAACCCCAGGGCACCTTCTCTGTCTAGTTCTTTGATAGGGACAGGGATTGACCTCACTGGTTAGGTCAAGGGTGCTCTGGGCAGAGTGACATTATCCCTGTCCAAGGCATCTCCAGGTCTTTGCTCGGCCACTGGCAGCTTGGGTACAGAGACCCAGAAGTGTGGGCTATGTCCATTTCAGGAGGTGGAAAGAGTTTAGCCACAAAGGGCTCCAAAGGTACTTGTTAGTTGCTGCCTCTTGTCCTGTCATGGTAATGGGACAACACTGTGGAATTTTGAGTGGAAGGTGGTGATTTCTTCTTTTTTAAAATTTTTATTTATTTATTTATTTTTGTGGTACTGGGGTTTGAACTCAGGGCCTACACCTTGAGCCATTCATCCAGCTCTTTTTTTTTTTTTTTTTTTTTGATGTGTGTTTTCAAGATAGGGTCTCATGAACTATTTATCTAGGGCTGGTTTCTACCTGTGATCCTCCTGATCTCTGCCTTCTGAGCAGCTAGGATTATAGGCATGAGCCATGGGCACCAGGCTCTTTTTTTTTTTAGTTGTGATAAGTACATGTACCACAAAATTGGCCACTTTAACCATGTACAAGTATTCATTTCAGTGTCATCAAGTCCATTCTCACTGCTGTGCAGCTGTCACCACCATCTGTCTCCAGAAGGCTTCATCTCTCCCCAGACCCAACTGCCATGCTCTTCCTGGTGCCCCTGAATCTGTCAGGCTTCTGTCTCACTACAGATAGCTCTGGCAGCCATAGGGGATGAGGCAGAGAAACAGAGACCCAGGGGGAGGCCAGAGAAGAAAGGGTCAGAAGCCAAGCTGGCAGCAGGGGTGGACTTTTTGAGAGATGTGGATGGAATTCACAAGACTTTAGTAACACTAACGCAAAGTCAGAGAGATGAGGAACCAAGGCCACTTCTCTTGGTGCTACCTTGGGTGGGGGAGATGTGACACGTTCTCTTGGAGATGAGAGCTCAATGAGGGCCATTTTCCCAGGAGAGAGACAGCAACCTGTGCGTGCCTATGCTGTGCCACAGGATGATGTCCAGGGTACAATTGGAAATTTTGCCCACAGTGTATCTGGGTGTCCTAGGTGGTGGTGATGCCCAGGGAGTGGACACAGGTGGAGGGTAACTCTGGCAGCTGGGGGTAGCACCATCACTTAGAGGACAGCTGCATGACCAAGACAAGTGAACTGGTGAGTCATTTGTGAAAGTGCTTCTTGCCAGCTGTCATGCATCATGCTAATGTTTCAGCTGACATCCGACTGCATGCCCAGCAGTGGTCCCAGAGGTTGTGTGACCTACTGATGTTGCTGTCTTAGGTTTGCATGTACACACGACAGACACAATCACCAGCAAAGCTTTTCTCAGAAAGCATCCATGTCATAGAGCAATACGCGTCCATCTCTTTCTCCTTTTGTTTCCTGTGATGCTTGCAGTGTTAAAGACTCCCAGTCCAGCACCCCTGCTGTGTACTAAGTAGAGTTCCTCTGATGCAGGTGCACTTCCAGTTTTTATAAACCTGAGTTTTTAAAAGGTCGGGGCTTAATGTTTTTATAAGAATTCAATAGGAGGCAGGTGATTGGTTTGGGGCATTGATCTATAATTTATTTATTTAAAGGTGAGCCCAGGGGTACACCAGCTGCCTCTGTAAGGCAATGTCCACTTCTTTTTTCCTTTGCTGTGGAAATCATTTCAGGATGGAAGCTTGTGTAGTAACTTAGGAAATGTTAAGGTCTATAGTCATCACCCATGTATGGAGGGAAAACAGGCTGCTATAGTCCATTTGGCTCAGTGACAAGGCCAGCCAGGTGCTACCAAGCAACATTTTCTTGAGACATTCCATAATTCTTGGTAAGGAATAGCCAAGTCAGTGTTAACCAAGAAAGCCAGCATTTCCCCTGGCTCCCTCCCATGGATGGAAGAGGTCCTGTGGACAGACATCCTCCCTGCAGACAGACATCCTCCCTGTGGATGGCCCTCCCCCCTACCATAGGGCATCTTCTCATGGACAGAGGCCCTCTTAGCTCAGGCCACTGCCTGGTGTGAGGTGCTGAGGTGGAGAAGTAGATGTTTGGGGTGCACTGTGAAGGAATCAGGGAAATCCCAAGCTTTAAGGAGTGCTATTCATGTTCTTAACTCCTGCACAGGAGAATGCCAGTGCCTATAGGGACTAGGGTGGGAAAAGTGGTTCTGGAGGGTGGGATGCAAAGAAGCTGTGAATATAGGACACTTGCTAACAAAAACACTGTCTCCTAGGGAGGCCAAGGATCTGGGGATTAGCCATGGTAGGATGCACCTCATGTGCTGGTTATGATTTGAACAACAAAATAAAGCCATATAATGCTACACTCATTCTTTTTTCTCTCTCCTTGAATGAGTGTCTTCTCAAGTGTCTCGTCATTGAACTGACACTTTCCAAAGATGCCCCCACCTCACCTGACCATGAGCAGAGTAACCCCACACACACACTCAGAGCCCTTAATCCTCCTCTTCTTTCTGCCTCCCAAGGTGAATCCACCATATTATGTCCCTCTGGTTGAGCTGGTCCCTCACCCTGAGACATCTCCAGCCACCATGGACCGAACCCACGCACTGCTGAGGAAGATCGGACAGTCCCCAGTGCGAGTCCTGAGGGAGATAGACGGCTTCGTCCTGAACCGCCTGCAATACGCCATCATCAGTGAGGCCTGGAGGCTGGTGGAGGTGTGTTCTACGCTGCTCCCTCCCATTCTTCCCTCCTTCCTTCATCTTTCTCTCCCTGCTTCCCTCCCTCCTTCCATGGTTGAGCAGGACAGTAGCAGTCATTTCCCCGTGCACTGGGAGCTGGGAAAATCAGAGGGCACTGAGTGCTTCTTGCTGTTTCCTGGAGAACAGGACAAGCATTGGAGCTAGAATGTAATGTACTTGTTCATTGTCTGGCTTACAGTCAGGCATTGGATGCCAGGACACAGTGATACCCTCTTTCCTGCCCTTTCACAGTATCTTCACAAAATTACCTGTGTGGCAACACTGCGTTTCCACAGATAGATTTCACCTTACAATGTTAAAATTTTTTTTTTTTTTGGCTACCAGAACATCATAGAAATATATTTCAGATGAGGAAGCAGTGTTAAAATTGACAAATTTAATTCTTAATTTCTCCAAGTTAACTTATCCAATTAAGTATTTTTAAAGTTATTCCCTCCAAAAACCAAGGGAGCTTTTCTTTTTCTCCACCACACACAATGGTTTCCCAATAGTCTCTGCTTGGAGTACTTTCAACTGATGAGTAAACTGCTTTGGAGATAGTTCAGAATTCCTTTCCAATGAAAACTAATTTTGGCAAAACTCAAATGCAAATTCCATATAATATAATTTTGAACTATTTGCTCAACAGTAAAAAACATCTATCATGAGAAATATGACAGATACAATCTGTGATCTACCAGTTAATAGAACTCTAGTGTTAAAATTTTGTAGGAGGAAAAAAATTATATTTTGCACAAAGTAAACTTGTATTCCCTAAAATAAAACAACTTGTTTCTAGAACCTGGGGAAGAAAAAATGAATAAATATTAAACTTGTTAGTAATAGGCTTATCTTACATACAAATAGTTGGTCATACATATCCATGAGTTCTGTATTCATGGAATCAACTAACCACAGATGAAAACAATTTTAAAATGCATCTGTTGTGAACATGTGCATACAGCTTTATTGTTATTGTTCTCTAAGCAATATAGCATAGCTATATACATAGCATTTCCAAAGTATTATGTGTTGTACACCATCTAAGGGTAATTTGAAATATATGGAAGGATGTGTGTAGGTTCCGTGTAAATACGATACATCTTTATATAATAGGACTTGAGCATCTGAAGATTGTGGTGTCTGGAGGGTCCTGGAACCAGTCTCCCATGGATACCTAGGGACCTCTGTATCTATTTAGCCTCTTGCTTTATTTGAAGATTTTACATGTGAGTGCACACCTAGCTACACATTTGTTTGAGGCTCAATGGTCCCTGGACAATGGAGTGGAAAGTGGCAGTCTTGGGGTAGGACTCCTGACTCTTGCCCAGATTCTGTATGGGTCTAGAACAATGTGGCCCCACCCAAGCTGCAGGCGCATGACAGAGGGCTGAGGTCACAGTCTACAGAGGAAGAGGGCAGTGCTTGCCTTTAGCTGCCTGTACCTGTGGCCCCGCTGTTCCATGTTGGGTCTTGCAGGGCTGCACACCAAGCCTCATCTGAGACAGGAACCAGGAAGCTATGCCCAGATTTTCCTCCTAACCCTGGCAGATGTGCATGATGTACGTGACCTTCCCACTTTCCTGTTCAACTTGTCATCTGGCCCCACTGCTCTGGGCACTAAGCACACCATGGGCTGGATGGTGAACTCTCCCACACCTGTGAGATGTGGTGCTGGGATTTCCTTTGTTACAATGCCAGTTTTCATTTCTTAGTACTTGCAGACTGTTTTCAAGTATCAGTCAGTGTTAGGGTATTTTAAAGAAACTCTGAACTTTAAGTATCCCCTTTGAGATCTATTTTAAATATTCTCACTTATCTGGAATAGGGCAACAATTTACTAGACCACAAGAAAAATTCCCACTTTCCTGTTCAACTTGTCATCTGGCCCCACTGCTCTGGGCACTAAGCCATGGGCTGGATGGTGAACTCTCCCACACCTGTGAGATGTGGTGCTGGGATTTCCTTTGTTACAATGCCAGTTTTCATTTCTTAGTACTTGCAGACTGTTTTCAAGTATCAGTCAGTGTTAGGGTATTTTAAAGAAACTCTGAACTTTAAGTATCCCCTTTGAGATCTATTTTAAATATTCTCACTTATCTGGAATAGGGCAACAATTTACTAGACCACAAGAAAAATTTGATACTGCAATAAAATGTGGTGGGGTTTTGTAGCACTTTTAACTTTATATTTGTAAGATATTACAAATATTAAGTTAAGTTTTGCTTTGTCTATCTGGAAGATGTGAGCCAACTCCAGAAATAATGTGGAGACACTGGTGTAAGAAAATTGGCAGAAGGTACCACAGAATTCTGGGAGCCTGGCAGCAGTTCCAAAAACCCTAGCAGGATCTCCATCTTGCCTTTCATTCTTGGAGGAGGGCAGCTGTTGAATTTGCTTCTCTAGAGCTCTTAATAATTTCTGTTGTCTTGTTTCTTGGGGTTTGCGGTAGACTGAGTGTTTTCATATTGTGACTAGACTTGGCTCACCTGATCTGGGGGGCCAGAAAATTCTTGGCTACATCAGAGAAAGAATTCAAGGATGGACATAGAGGCAACTTAAGCATGAGGGGGTGTATTAATGCAAAGCACAGTGAAAACAAAGAAAAGCGCTCTCTGCTGGACCTAAGCTTTATTGGGTTCCCAATAAAATGGGGTGGTCAGTCCTGGAAAACTTCTGGAGACTGAGTTATGCATCATTAACTCCCCTCAAATGTCAAGCAAGGGAGTTCTTGGGTGTTCTGAGCATCCAGGGTCAAATATGGGGCCATGGGTCAGCAAGACCCTGCCATATGTCACAGCCATTGTGTTAATGTCAGTGGTCAAGGGACGTGATTCATTATCACCATCCAAGCCGTCATTCTTAGCCATCAGGTCTTCTGACTCCCCTCCTAACCCCTATATTGATGTTATTGGCTGTGATGTCCTCACTGCAGGGTTGCATGGATGACATACTTCCTAAGAAAGCAAATCCTGCATGTGTCTCTCTGTAGGCTGCTATGGAGCCTCAGGCCCAGAGAGAGTGCTAAATCTGGCAGGATATGATGGGTGCCAACACGAGAAGAGGCAACAGAAAAGGGAAGGCTGAGGGGTATGAATAGAACCCAACTTCTTGCCTTTCATGAAAGTTAGGCGATTGTCTTTGTTGAAAAGCAAAGGAGATCTGCAGGTTGTTAGGACTGAGACAATCTGGGAACTGCAGGAATGGCTTTCCAGTCTGTGGGGAAGGATGGGATGGGAACAGAGCTCCTGGAATCCTGAGTTCCAGCAGGGCAAGATGTGCAGAGAGAGATATGGGAGGAGGCTGGGACTGCTGGTATTGTCCCTACTTTCACCGTCTCTGCTCAGCGGTGGCACCTTGGTTCCTCCCAGGAACTCAGCAGATTTGGGAGGGCCCAGGACATTGGCAGCTGCTGGCATGGATGCATGAGATGTCCATGTGGATGCCGTGCTTTCCACAGAGCCAAGGCTGGGTGACGAGGCTCTGCACACCTCAAGCTTACCTGGAGAAATCCACCACATGCTCATGAGCCAGCACTGAGCACTTCTTATGAAGGCAGCCATGTGCCTGTGTTGTTCCCATGAGATGGATTGGTTTAAGGATATTTGACTACTATATGGAGTTCGTTTTAGGGGGCAAGGGCAGTACTGGGGTTTGAACTCAGAGCTTTGTGCTTCCTAAGCAAGTGCTTTACTGCTTGAGACACACCTCTAACGCTTTTTGCTCTGGTTATTTTGGAGATTCTTCCTTTTAAGCTTCCTGCTGTGGCTGGAATGACAGGTGTGCTCCACCATGCCCAGTTTTTTTTTCTATTGAGATGAGGTCTCACATGCTTTTTTGCTGGGGCTGACCTAGAACTTCAATCTTCCTGATCTCAGCCTTCCACGTAACTTGCGATGATAGGTGTATGCCACTGCACTGTGCCCAACTATTGATTGAGATGGAGTCTTACAAACTGTGTCCCCAGACTGGCTTCATGATCCTCCTGATCTCAGCCTCCCAAGTAACTGGGACTACAGGTGGTGATCGGCTTTGTATGGAGTCTTATAAGAAAGTCCGTGCTGCTTGTGCCAGGTTCCTCTTCAGGTATTGCAAGTCAGCAAAGGTTAGAAAACCTCTTCAAAGCCCCGCCCTCCCCTGTTGCAAGTTTGCATACGTGCTCTGAGGCATGTGCAGGTGAGGGTTAAATGACATCCCTCTGACTCAGCATCAGAGCCAGTGAACTTACATTTTGGGGTGTTTCAACGGTTGAACTTAGATTTGAAGTTTCCCAAGTTTGCCTCAAAACTTAGCAACTTTAATACCAAAAAGAACAGACCTTGACGGCCCAAACAATGTATACACATACGAGTAAATGAATAAACGATTAAAAAAGAACAGGCCTGGAGGAGTTACACAGTGAGGCTTATGACTTGTACTCATGCTAAGTTTAGAAGCTCATGGACCTTGCAGGGCTTCTTTTTGCAAGTGAGGCCTGGGCTGGGCTCTACCAGTGGCCAGAAGTATCTGACACTGACCCAGGACCAAGAAAACAGAATGGGATTCCACATGCAAGAGGAGGCTTTACCCAGGAATGCCTGCACATGTTCTGTCTTGGTGTTCTCTGTATCACAGAGCACATTGAAAGTGGTCAGGGCCTTTTCTGCTTCATCTAAGCTTGGTGCATTCACTGGTTAGGGATGGGGTCCATACAACTTTCAGGGTAAGAAAAGTACCAGGTGGTTTGGGATGTGAAGGGAGCCTGTTAGATACAGACCTGTGAGCCTCTGTCTAGGTGTCTGGAGTGCTGGGCAGGCCAGGCCAGAGAGAAATGCTGTTCCCTGTCATCTGTATTCCAACAGCTCTAAGTAGATAAAACCCAGGCATGGGTTTCCAGGCTCTGGCCCAGGTTGGGGTCTGGGCTGGATGAGGACAGGCAGTGGACCTGGTCAGAGCAAGGACTTGTATTTCCATCCCACATGGGTGGAAATATATAT